AAAATCCAACACAATGTTTTCAAAAAAAACTTAACTGCATTTTATAAAGTATTGCTTGCATAAATTGTTGCATATTGAATGGGAATAAAATCAATTTGTTATTCCAATGCATCTTCTGTAATATTAGAGTAATTATTATGTCGGTGTAATTAGGAGGAGGCATGTAGTGTGGCTGTGTTACCATTTCTGTAGCATTGCTGGATGATGCAGAACTTGAGTATTTAAAATATTTTTTTCTCCCTTTGTGTTTCTGCTTGAATATTACGGTTGTGTCACCATGTGCTGGGAATTAAATATTCTTTCGTTTCAGTCCTGCAGTATTTTAGCAGATCCAGGAGAGACAACAGCCGACACTCTTCATTTGAACCATTGTAAACCAATGGTATATCTCACTTTTTGATTTCTAAACAACTTTCTGTTCATTGTTTGCAGCCTCACAGAGGAGGTCTTTTGGTTGGAGAGGTAGAAATGCTTCACATCTTGTTTTGGCTCTAGATAGTGAGGTCTTCAGATCTCAAGTATTGCTGGCTAGCATATAGATTTGTCAGTGGTCAAGTCCACAAAGTGGCTTTTGCAGCAAGCAAAGGTACAGCAAAGCTCTTAAGAAAGCTTTTCATTCTGACTTAAAGGTCGACTGGACTGGCATTGGGTTTAAGGTGAGAGCTATTTTTTTGTGTCTGTGCACTGCTGGACATACTTGATAGGTTCAAATAATGTAAATTCACTCTTCTGCTTAAAACAAACAGAAAAAGCCCCAAGAGTCTATGTTCAGGCTTTTTAATTTTCAGGAGCTTACACGCTCCATTTTTAGTAAAGCTGCTTTTTTACTAGAAGTGGAGTTATTACACTGATCTTTTTAACAATTATAGGTCACCTTTTCACAGAACTTGTGAACAGAAACAGAGTTCTTCATTTTCTCTGAGCCCTCTTAGTTATGCCTGATAAAGAAGCAGACTGAAATTTACACCTTTAACTGAATAGGTGTTTCTGGATCTGGCAATTTAATGTGTTGTTTTTATTTTTGTGCAATGCTTTGTCAGAATAAAATTATGTGAAACACTGCTGTAGTATTGATAGGCACGTGAGCAGCCATTAAAGATAATGTTCCTTTCAAGGAAGGAATGAGCCGAAGCAAACATTAACCTGCATTTCACACTCAGCGTGAGGAACGCAGCAGTTAGGAGAATGTGGGCATTCATCTGCAGCAGGTAGAGACCGAAGGTGCCAGAAAAGAAAGCAACAGCACAGGACTCCACCTGAGTTCTCAGAAAGCCTGTCCTCATCTGCTCGTTTTGCAGAAAACAGTCTTCATTTGGCTGAGATTAAAGTACTGTTTTGTAGCCACATCTCTCAGCTTTTTCTTTCTTCCTAAGCATCCGTCCAAAAGCTGAGTTCGGAGCTGGCAACAGACATTTACATTTTTAAAAACTTTTAGGAGAATCCAGTTGACTTTTAAAATATTCATTTTTTTCTTTTTTCTTTTTAAACTCACACATTTAATTTTCATGTCTCCATAATCACAGAATGCTGGTGATAGTTTACTTGGATAACAGTTTTTATCTTTAAGATATCTTATCCCTTTGCAAACCCGCAGCTGTAGGTTGGGCTCTTCTACTTCTGAAATGCTGGCATCTCTTCTTGGGAATATAACAGTGTCTGTATAAGACCTACCCAAGGTTGCTCTTTGCGTTGAGTCATCACAGTCTCCTGAAGTCTCTATTCTACATCAGTCTCTATTCTGATATTTGTGAGTCGGAGACTGAGTATGAGCACGGGCTGTGTCTATTCTTTAGTTACTGGTAGAGTTATTCATTACAGGTCACGTGGTCCTATTTGTTCCTTGTAGTGATTCCTAGTATTTCACAGAATATATAGAGAGTGTATAGTTGTTCTTTGGAAACTGGATTGGCAAACTGTAGAAGACAGTGTGGAATGGATCAAAGTTCCTCTTGGCCACACATCTAATGGTGACTACAAAATGTGCAGGTTTTTGTTTCTTTGTAGGTTTTTTTGTTTGTTTTTTGCTTTGCTGCATTGAATGCTTGCACTTCAGTTTTAGCAAACTTCAAGACAGCTAGGAATGACAGTGCTCCAAGTAATTTATCACTTGATGAGTGCTTTCTTTTTAGAATGCAAGCATACAAACCTCATAAGCAGGAATCAGGAAATCGGGCTAGTTCCTGTTGTGTATTGCTATCTTAACATTGTTTTAAAAGAGGCAAAAAGAGAGTTCCTCTAAATATTGATGTTCCATAGCATGCAGTGCTGCTAAGTACTCCTGTAGGTTTTAAAACAGGGAAAAATCAGGCCAGGCTCTTAGAGTACAGTGTGGGAAAAGGGATGAGACATCTTAAGAAAAGCAGGGCTTGCCTGATGCTGGATGGCTTCCTGCCAGCAGTGTCACCAGTCACTGCCGAGCATGGCCTGTGATGGCAGTAATTTTGTCCCATGATGGGCAGAATGAAAGGCCTCAATTGGACTGCAGCAGAGCTCACCTCTGTGTTACCAGTCCCACCTGTGAGCTGCTTTGCCCAGACTTCAAAAGCATGCTCCTGGACGAGAATTTCAAATTGTATTTTTAAACTTGACCACTGCACCGTCTTGTCTTTTTTTTCCTTCTTCCGTGTTTTGCCATTGCTTGCTCTCTGCTGTAGTGAATTGCTTGTAGGCATTCATGCAACGCTGTGCTGTTACTCTTTTAGTTTTAATAAATAGTTCAAGTCCCTTTCTGTAGCTGCTGACTGCATGGTGCTGTATGCAGAATTCTCTTTTTCTTTTAGGCCATTGCAGGTATCTGTGTGAAAGGTGTCTGTGTGCAATGTTGTAAGCTTAGAGCTTACATTTGAGATAAAGTTTGTGTCTCACTGCTGCTCCTGTCCTTGCATGTGTGTGTTGCTGTGTATGCCAAGTTACAGGTACTACAGCACATGCAGTTTGGGTAATTAATTTGCTTCCAGTAAGTACTAGGAAAATTTCAAATGTTAAAAACAAAGAAACCAACCAACCAAAAGGAAAAACAAAACAAAACAAAAGAAAACAAAAAAAGCAAAACCCAAATCTCACACACACAAAATCCACACCAAACCTCTGCTTCCTTTAGCCATAAAGCTGTGTATGGTGACTTGAGTCAGCCGTACCGTGGTTGGTAGGTACAGGAGGGCTTCAGACTAACCGAGACTGAGAAACTGAGGCTGCCAGCTTGCACAAACTTACTTACCTTTTGGTTTGGGCTTCTTAGCTGATGGTCATACATGACTATCATGGGGTTTCAAAGGTTTGCAAAACAACCACCTTCCTATGCTAGTGTTGTTTGGGTTGCTTCTTTGAGAGAGATGGTGAGAGGCTGAAAGAGGCATGGTAGGAAGGTGAGTTGTGAGGTGTTGGGTGAAGCAGCCACCGAAGAGCAGTGGAAGCCAAACGTTTTTAGCTGGTGTAAAAGGAGTGCTCAAAAATAAATGATACATCAGTACCTTTGAAAGGAAGAAAATGACTAAATACACCTAAGAACAAACTTCTCTTTCTGGAGAATTCATTTATTTCAGGACTAAGAATTCAGGTTTAAAATTATACATCCTTTATGAACTTGTTAACTACAGCAGAATGAAATCCTCTCTAAGGGATTTTAAAACCATGGTCTAGCTGCAGAGGGTGTTGGATTTTTTTCTTTGTAGAGGGAATATGCATTAGGCTGACATGCTGGCTCTGCCTGCTGCAGAGGTACATAAACGACTACTTTGTGATCATTTTTCTTCCTTGTTCAAAAGTGAGATAGGGATGCACTCCTGCTTGCTAGCTTTAAGAACACTGTGCTGTTCACAGCTTTTGAGCTGTGTTTGGCACATGCTCCAGAGGCTCTTCTAGCTTGCAGTTTTATTTGAGCCTTCAGTCTTTTTCTTTTAGAGAGGAGGAGAAAATTGTAGGCAGCTATTTGGAGCTTCTCCACAGTCCCCTTTCAAAATAAGATGAGCTAGACATAAGAGATAGTTACACACTATCTGTGGCTCCCTGATTCAGAGTGGAGGAAGCTCTCAAACTTGATCATCATAGTAAAAGCCTTTATATTTGGGGTTTCTAAGCATTATTCCTTTATGAAGGCTGTTCAGCTAGAGAAAAGCTTTGTCATCCTCTGCACATTTTGACTAACAGTTCTGGCTGATAGTTCATACTGGAAATAGCTAGTTCTTGTTTTCCTCTTTTTATGGCTTCTCTTGGGATAACCCAGATAAGTCAGCTGAAGAAAACTTCAGGGAGCTCTGAACTGGGATTAGCTGCTCTCAGTGAGAATAAGTGTCTTTCACTGGAATGCGTTACAAGCTGTTAGTCTCTCTTTAGACAGCCAGTTAGCCTGATGCTGGCTGGTTCCTGAGAGGTACACATGTAGTGTTTCAAAAGGCAACGTTTGGATGCATCCCAAACTAGACTACAAACTGCTGCATCATCTTTGAAAGGAGTGCCATTTTTAAGTTCCCCATGATGCGTAACTAACATAGGAGGTTATTAGGCTTAGGAAGGTATACATTTGTTCCTGAGTGAACCCTCAGTCTCATTGAAGCAGGTGGCCACAAGCTGGGGCAGCCAGCCTCCTGTGCTTCATGCAGGGATGCTGAGGAGTTCTGAGCAGTAGAGTAGTAGAGAAATTGTTTTTATTTATGCCTGGCAGTGCAGGACTTGCTCTGAGGAAAAACAGTATTGTTGGCAAAGTTGACACAAAAAGCACAGCTGCAGGAAGCAGAAGATAGAATTGGAACAGTTAACTTCATATTGACACAATTAAGTTTTGGAATAGTTCGTAATGTTCTCTAGTCTCAAACATGATAGTACCTTGTCATGGCAAATCTATTCTCTTTGGCTTGGCAGAGTGTTTATGAATTAGCATTGTATTAGTTTGGTGACATCCCATGATAATCTGTGATTGGTTCATAAATTCTTGCGCTTCTCTTTTTACTGTCTGAAACTCTTCTGTTTATGCTCCTACTAATCCAGATTTGCTGTCTACACAGGCAGAAAACACAACTCTTTGACTCCTAGAACAACTATGTTTCCTTGTCCTGGCTGCCTGCATGATATTGATCTTGGAGAACGTGGTGTCAATGGCTTATTTCGAAATTTCACTTTGGAAACAATTGTGGAGCGACACCGACAGGCAGCCAGGGCAGCCATAGCTATTATGTGTGACTTCTGCAAACCTCCGCCTCAAGAATCCACAAAGAGCTGCATGGACTGCAGTGCAAGCTATTGCAATGAATGTTTCAAGGTGCACCATCCCTGGGGAACTGTAAAAGCTCAGCATGAGTACGTTGGACCAACCACTAACACCAGACTTAAAGTAAGTACACCGGATCTTAGGGGATTTTGATTGCTGTGTTCATATATAGCTGCAGACATGTTCGTGCTCTGGCAGTTGATTTTTAGGACCACTGTTGTTTTATTCTGCTGTCGTTTGAGTAAATGATAAGCTTTTGTTTGTTGATGCCAAAGTGGCTTGAACATGTTTGAAGGGGACTCTAAGCATTTTGTTTTACTTCAGTTAATGGATTGTTTTTATATACTTATTAATTTCCCTTAAGACATAATGATTTTGAGCACCCACAATTGTCTTAAGGGAGTTTTCTAGGAAACACAACCTTGTTGATTTGGTGCTTGTAAACAGAAAGGGTTTTCTGAGTGAATTGGCAGCTGGGGGCTGTCTTGTCCACACTGACCATGAAGTATTGAGTTAAAAATCTTTGGTGCAAGGAGGAAAACTGCCACCAAAACTTCAACCCTGGATGTGGGGAGAATAGACTTCAGGCATCTCATGGAATTAGTTGGCAAAGTCTCATGGGAAACTGTTTTAGAAGGCATTATGGTCCATAGGTACTGGAGTTTGTAAACAACACTAAATTAGGAGGAGATGTTGATTCCCTCGAGAGCCTTGCAGAGGGATCTTGACAAATTGGAGGTCTGGGCAATCACCAACTGCATGAAGTTTAACAAGAGCAAGTGCTGGATTCTGCATGTGGAGCAGGATAAGCCTGGTTTGTGTACAGAGTGAGGGATAAGAGGCTGGAGAGAAGCCCCAGAGAAAGGGATCCGGTGGCTGATGGCTGGCTGAATGTGAGCGGGTGCTGATTTGTGCTCTCTGGTGACAGCAACAGAAGCCTAGGGAACAGCAAGGAGCTGCATCAGGGCAGGGTCAGACTGGGTGTTAGGAAAAGATTCTTCACCAGAGGGTGGTGGTATGGAACAGGTTCCCCAGGGCAATGGGCATGGCTGTGAGCTGCTGGAGTTCAAGGGGTGTTTGAGCAAATCTATCAGATACAGGGTTTGAATTTTAGGTGGTCGTGTGTGGAGGCATGAGTTGATCTCGGTGATCCTTGCGGGTTCCTTTCAACTCAGAATAGGCAGTGATTCTAAATGTCATGTCAAGGAGCATGCCTGTGTATGGCAAACAGAAAAACCAATAGAACACAACCAAACAAAACCCTACGCATGAAGATAGTTCCCTTTGCATGTTTTGAGCCTGAGCGTAATCCTATGCAGAGCATCTTTTTTGTCTTATTCCTCCTTGCACTGAATAATAACTGGAGGTGAGAGCTCAGGCCTCTGCTGCTTTTAGGTGCACCCTTCTAGTCCTTCTTTGTAGCTAAAGACAACAATGCAATTGCAAATGTTCTACTTTGCCAACTACTGCTATGTTCAGACAAAACACAGTGCCTGCAAGCTGCTGTCACTTTTGTTTCTCTTGCTAAGTGTGATGCAGGACACGGGTGTACCTAATTAAATTCAAGTTACACAACAGGAGGAATTGTCACAACTGCCCTCTCTCTAGCAAAAACCCACAGTAAGTCTTAGTGTCCCAGCATTAGCTACATGCGTTTGGTGACAAGAATTGTGCTGTGGGCTGACTTTTGTGAATTTCCTAGTAGCAGCAGTGCTCACTTGATGAAGCACAACAGAAGTGCTTGGATGTTGCTAGGTTTTGATCCCATGCAGGTGGTATCATGGTGAATCACTCCATGTATTTGGGGCCAGAGTGTGGGAGAAAACTTGATTAAAAGTAGGCCTAGTGTGTTGCTTCTGTGCCTTGTACAGAAGCGTGGGGAAGGCTTTAAGTGTATTTATCAATAGTAAATCTCTCATTATATTTTTGAGGACTGAGTTTAGTATGAGGAAAGAAAAGTGCATTTTTAATTACAGTACGTTGTTAAGATCAGAAATGAATGAAAGAGTATTTGTGAGTCTCCTAAATAATGTTCCTGGTTGTATCATTAATTTGAAACTAGACTGCAGAGCACTTTGTAATGTGTGTGGTGGGGATGTGAGAAGCACACAGTAGACTGATTGTTCTTGAATTTTTAGAGAGCTAGACAAGATAATCTGCTTTTTCTGTCTCTAGTTTGCAGGCTACACTTACGATTTACGCAAGAGGTAAATAAAAATATTTGGTTTCTGTTAAGTGTGGCCAGACAGTGCTGTGGAAAAAATGGCTTCCGTGGGATAGGAGATGATTGCAGTTCTTTGGAGATGCCTTTTGCCACAGCTGATTTTGCTGAAAGTTTCTTCTTCCTGTTTTTTTTTTTTTTTTTTTTTTTTTATTAAATCAACCAGAGGGTGACAGTTGGGTAGCTTATCATGTGTTCTGCTTAATGATAATACTGTATACCAGGGTGCTAGTGAGACTAGTATCTTTTGCCTCTCACCATAGGCCGAGATAAAATATGGTCTTGAGAGCTGGTTTCAAGGATGGCCAGCAGTTTTCATTTTGTGTGTCCATATTTATGCTACTGGAATTTTGTCTTTATTTTGGCTCTTTTGTTTTTCTCCCCACCCCCTTTTTCGGTGTGTATGTCTGCTCTTTGAGCTTGGAATTGGACATTGTTCTCCCTCATTTAGCAGTTACTCCATCATACATGTTCAGTTTTTGAAAGATGATTGTTAGCGAGTGCCAGACTTTTCAGAATATTGAGGCTGATATTTGAGTGAACAATTGTAATTGGAATCAGATGGGAAACAGTAAATGAAACAGAGCTTTTTATCTTTAAACTGTGAGTGATGTTAGAGGCTGTATTTCGCTCCAAGAGCTGTAGCTATGTAGCTGTTCTGAGCCTAGTTTAGATTTAAATCGCTCCTGTATTATGCCAACTCTTGCTTTAAGAGACAAATCGTAGCTCTTTTGAGAGAGAATTGAGGTGTTGACCTGGAGCCAGTAGAATTTGAGAGGGTGAGTGTGTTGTATATATTACATTCACAGTTCTGAACATGGCTACAGGTATTTTACAGCATGCAAAGAACTTGAGAGATTAGCAAGATGATTAACTGCAATATGGAGGCTACTTGGTGTGTACATAGACATAAAATTGTGGGCAAACATAAACATATGGCCTGTAAGTGGAATATATGAAAAATCCATTAGAGGAATTAGATGCTGCCTTGGGACGGCTGTTTGCTTTAATGGTTTCTTTTTGGAAATAGTCTTTCATTCTTTGCTCTCTTTTTTAGGTTTTGATGTGTCCAGAACATGAAATGGAGAAAGTGAACATGTACTGTGAAATCTGCAGAAGGCCCGTCTGCCATCTCTGTAAACTGGGTGGATCTCATGCAAACCACAGGATAACAGCAATGAGCACTGCCTATAAAACTCTGAAGGTAACAGTAAGCGTTGTTTGAGCTGAACTTAAGAAGAGAAAGTACACTGAGCTTCTGTAGTAAGGGCAAACTCTCTCTGGCAGGAAGCCTGCACATGTCCTTGGAGGACATGGGTCATGAGGCATGCTGTTGTGCAAGCTCTGTTAGTGTACATTATTAATGTGACTTAGCATATCTGAGAAAATAATTTTTCTGTGAACCTTTCAAAGTGCTTCCCCTTAATTTAGCCATTTGTGCAGCAGTACTGACCCTTCCAGAAAGTTTAAACCACTAATAGTTGGCAGTTTGGCTGGTACCACTGGGTAGTTTCAGGCTGGTTCCCTTGTATCTTGGGTGAACTGACATTTCAAAAGCACGTCAAAACAATTTGAAACTGAAGTGTCTTGTGTGACCTTGCGTGTTGCTGAAGCTGCATGGTTGTTAATTGACTAAGTACGGTACAATAAAGAAGACTTGCAAACATTGTTTTGTTACTACAAAATGACTGCTGCTATCTTTTCCCCTTTCTTCTTCTCTAGCTCTTATCCACAAAAAAAAAAGGGGGGGGAAAGAGGGAAAGAATGGGGAAAAAAAAGAAGAGAAAAGGAAAAAAAGAGAGAAATATTTTTCCTTTCTGCTTTTTGACCTCCTTGCTTATTTGCAAAGCTGTACTGATGTTAGCTTTTGAAGATAGGGAAGTGCAGAGACACACATAAGCTCTGCTTCGAGCCACTCATTTCTTTAATAAATCTTACTAGAAATGAATTTGTAACAGGCAGGGCTTTTCTGTAAGTTGTAACAATGTTCTTGAGCTTCTGGTTCCTCAGCTGAAGAGAAGATGACATCTCTGGGAAGGAATGAGCCTTCTTCAGTTGCTTTGTGTTGCTTGCTCAAAAGAATCTGTCAGTGTGGTCATTTTGGGAAACTCAACAGTTCTTTACAGCGTTGACTTACAAAGGCTTTGACACTGTGTCCTGCAGTATTCCCCTGGGGAAGCTGACAGCCCATGGCTTGGACTGATACACTCTTTGCTGGGTAAAGAACTGGCTGGATGGCCAGGCGCAGAGACTGGTGGTGTTAAATCCAGCTGGTGACCAGTCATGAGTTGGTGTTCCCCAGGAGTCAGTACTGGGGCCTGTCCTCTTCAATATCTTTACTGATGACCTCGATGAGGGCATTGAGTACTCGCTTGGTAAGTTTGCAGATGACAGCAAGTTCCGAGAAAGTGTTGCTCTGCCTGGGGGTAGGATCTGGACAGGCTGGATCGCTGGGCTGAGGCCAGTGGATGAAGTTCAACAAGACCAAGTGCTGGGTCCTGCCTTTGGCCACAACAGCCCCAGGCAATGGTACAGGCTTGGGGCGGAGTGGCTGGAAGACTGCATAGAAGAAACAGACCTAGGGGTGTTGATCAGTGCTTGGGTAAACATGAGCCAGTATTGTGCCCAGGTGGCCAAGAAGACCACTGGCATCCTGGCTTGTATCAGAAACACTGCTGACAACAGAAGCATGGAAGTGATCATCCCTTTGTAGTCAGCATTGAGGGTGCACCTTTAGTATGGTGTTTGGTTTGGGGCTCTCATATAAGAAAGACAGTGAGGCCCTGGAGTGTGTTCAGAGAAGGGCAATGAAGCTGGTGAGGGGTCTGAAGCAAAAGTCTTACAAGGAGTGTCTGAGGGAGCTGGGATTGTTCAGTCTGGATGAGAGGAGGCTCATGGGTGAAATTATTGCTTTCCGTAACTACCTAAAAGGAGGTTGTGGTGAGGGGGGGGTTGGCCTCTTCTGCCATATAACTAGCAATAGGATGAGAGGGAATGGCCTCAAGTTGTGCCAGGGGGGATTCAGGTTGAGTGTTAGGAAATACTTGTTCTCTAAGAGTGAGGTCAGACACTGACCTAGGCTGCCTAGGGAGGTGATGGAGTCACCATCCCTGGAAACGTTGAAGAAATGTTTAGATGCTGTACTGAGGGACATGCTTTAGTGGGAAATTCTGGTGGTAGGTGGATGGTTGGACTAGATAAGATCTTTCTAACCTTGGTGATTCCCTGATTCTATGACTTTCACTGATAGTAGGCTGCCAGCCTTGCTACAAGGTAAACTGAATATTTACTGAGTGACTTATTCCTGCTGTTGATGTGTTTGGTTTGGAAGTCCTTGATCTGATTGTTTGCTATTCTATTTTAATAGGAGAAGCTTTCAAAAGATATAGAGTATCTCATCAGTAAGGAGAGCCAAGTAAAAGCTCACATCTCACAGCTGGGTCTTCTGCTGAAAGAAACAGAGGTAATAATGATTTGCTGTTTTGAAGGGGTAGTCCTCGAAGGGACACAGCAAGGGCTGGAGCTGTTTCCGGCACAGTGTTGCACTGGCTATATTGAGGGCTGGAGGGTTAATTTGAAACAATTTCTGTAAAAGTTGTGTTAGTCTTCTCACTTTAAAGCAATTCGAACAGTGTGGGAAATTTAGGCAGTGTACAGAGGAAGGGGACGTTTTGGTTTCCAGTGTAAATTTGAAATAAGGCTTATTTGATACTCCAGTCAAAGATAAATGAGTTGGACTTAAAGCTCTCTGTATCAAAGGCAATGCACTGCTTATGTTTTTACATTGTTTTGAGGATGTTGCTGTGAAGTCAGAGTTAAGATAAAAAACTCTGCATAGAAGACAGAGGTGGGGATATTCTTTGCATGCAAAATGCAAAACTGACAGAAATTGCAGGAGCTCCTGGCCCTGCCCTTTCCTGGATGCAGATCATATCTGTGCATCTATCTGAGGTAGCAGTCAAGAGTGGTCCTGTTGCTCCGAGGGAGTTGGGTGTTGCGACGTGACACTGGGCTACCCTGGGAAACATACAGAGGTCACAAGGTTTGAGATCCCCTGTGGTAAATTAAGATGAAACAACACCAAGCACTCAGTTAAATATTTGCTTGGATCTCACTATGATACTTAGATTTATATGTCTGTATCTTATTGGCTGTGAGCTATGATGATAGGCCTTGCATTACAGCCCTTGGATCCAGCAGTGTCACAGCAGTCAGGATTGTTTCTGTGTTGCTGAGCACACGTGCCTTTTGCAGTCTTTTGACTTTCATGTGCTCACAGTCCCCCCCACTAAAGCGGAGCTCAAGTCACAATATGTGCAGTTCCACTGAGCATGTACAGTCCTTCAGAATGTGCCAGAAATGAGCTGGGGTCTCAAGTGGTTGTCAGACTGAGATATGACACTACAGCTGCTCAAGTGCAGTTTGGGGTTTAGAATACACTGGAAATTGGTCCATGGGTTGGAGGGTCTTCAGGTGTCTCACTTTCCCACTGCCCAAAAGACTCCTTGTTGAGCATCTCTCCCTCCCCCCAGTAAGTTCTTCTGATGTTGCTGAACAGGTCTTCATAGTCTCAGAAGATAAGGAAATCCATCTGGAGAAGTAGTGTCTTGCCTTGTTAAGGTCTCCTCCTCCAGCATCTCCTTTTCTCCTACCAAGTGTTTGGGACATTAAGCCATTTGCTTCTCAGCCTCTTACAGTGAGAAGTCTCTTGGGCATGAAGGCTTCAGACCCACCTTCTACAGTGCTCTGCCGTGAGCTGTTTAGGCAGAGAAATGTCCTGCATAATTCAGGGCATAATCTGAGAAATAATTTCCTGCTCTTCGTTCTCAGTGTTAAGAAAGTGAATATATACTGACTTGCAGTGTTGCTTCTCTTTTCATTCTTTAACAGTATAACAAAGCTGTAAATCTTCCAAGCAGATGATTGAATTGCTGTTACAGTTCATAAAAAAAACCTTTGTGTTTCCTTACACAGACACAGAGCAATGAGATTGGTTTAAAATGTATTTTGTTCTTTCCTAGTGCAATGGGGAAAGAGCTAAAGAAGAGGCATCTCAGAGTTTTGAGAAATTAATTAATATCCTGGAGGAGAAGAAGTCTGCAGCTCTTAGGGCAATTGAAGTGTCTAAGAATATAAGGCTGGACAAATTGCGAACCCAAGCAGAAGAATATCAAGGTCTCCTGGAAAATAATGGCCTTGTAGGATATGCTCAAGAAGTGCTTAAAGAAACTGATCAGTCCTGTTTTGTTCAAACAGCAAAACAACTTCACGTCAGGTATCTTGGTTATTGTCTGGGTTAGGTACAGGTTCTGCTGCTGCACGATGTCTGGTCAAGTAGGTTATCTTAACACTTGCTAGCAGAGTTCTGGGTGTAGTACCTTTTATTGCAGAACCTCATAACCAGTCCAGCTGCAGTTCAGAAGAGATTACTGTGGTACAGTGTGTGTTCAGAAGTAGCGCACCAAAGGGATTCTGTCCTTCTAAAGCATCTAGCCCTGCTTAGTAGAACTGCAGTGGAACAGCAGTCTGTTCAGCTCACTGACACATTCCTTTGCACTGTGATTATATCAGCTATTTGCAAGTTAATCTAACAGGTCTCTTCCGACTTTACACTTCTGATTTAATAGTTGGTCTCCATTAGCACTTCACATCTGTTTTGTTCTTTGAACAGAATGCAAAAAACTTTGAAGATAATCTGCTATTTGAACTTTTATTTGTTCACTGTTCTTACCTTGATGTGCATAACGATTTTAATCTTTGAATTTAAATTCTGCCTAGTAAAGAAAATGAGACTTCAGTAAGTAAAAGCTAGCATTTTTGTTTTCAGAAATGTACATTTATACATTCCCTTTTCTTTTGTCTGCCATCCCTCCACTCCTGTGCTTTTAGAATCCAAAAAGCTACTGAATCTCTGAAGAGCTTCCAGCCAGCAGCTGAAAGCTCTTTTGAAGGTTTTGTGGTGGACACAACCAAGCAAGAAGTGATCCTTGATGACTTATCCTTCTATTCCAGTGGTAAGTTGTGAGAACATCAAGTCTTTGTTGAGTTACAGCTTTAAGAGCTTCTCTAGAAAGGGTTAGAATTTATGCAGGGCTGCAGTTGCACATCTCAGTGAGGTACCCTGACTTGCACTGATCCTTCTGTCTTCATGATCCACACAGCATTACCTATCAGCATTACCTATTTGCTCTGACAGGCAAGCTGGGATGTCATCAACTTCAGTACCAGTTTACAATGGCTTCTAAAATACTGTAGTTAATGACAGTTAAATCTTAGTGGAAGCTTGTTGTGTGCGCAGAAAAAAAGTGGGCATTTTGCCGTTTTTTTTTTTTCCCAGCAGCTTGCACAAATTCCAAATTAAAAGCAGAAACTAAAGAATTCATTTGTGTGCAGGAACACAGGCAGTGTCACCTTTAACTGTGCAAATCAAATTATTTTCCACGCTGCTAAGCTCCTGAGTGGAGAAGGTATAGATCACTTTAAAACAATGTATATCTAAACATCTAAACTTCTGGATTTTTTCTCCTCAATCTGTGGCCTTCCAGGTCTGGAAGTACCAGAAATCAATGAGGAGCAATGCAGAATGTATAACAAAGCTGTGATCAGCTGGGAGTCCTCCAAGAAGACAGACTCTGCTGATATGTACGCTCTTCAGTATCGCAAGCTTAGTAGAGAAGAGGAGAGTGTGATGTGGCAGGAGGTTGAAGTTTGCAGCAAGAGCAAAGTCATACCTGATCTTGATGAAGACAGTAGCTACGCCTTTAGAGTTCGAGGATACAAAGGGTCCATGTGTAGCTCGTGGAGCAAAGAAGTTATTTTGCGTACACCTCCTGCTCCAGGTACTGGCTTTTCTTATGTCCACCTGCACTGGAAACCACCTACAGTTCCCAGACTTCTGTGCCATTATTGGTTGTATGTATATGCATAGAAGCACTGTAATAAACAGGTTAATTATCATACTGCAATTATTAGCCTGCATGACAACCCTAATAGCTTTTCATAGTGAGAATTTCTAATGCCGATGTATGTTAAGATGCAGTTTGTAAGCACAGAAAGCCAAAAAATACTTAACTAACAGCAGACTCTTGGAATACTATTTTTCAGTTCTTAGCTTTCTTTTTGATGACAAATGCGGGTACAACAGTGAACGTCTCCTGCTGAACCCAGAAAGAACGTCTGTGGAAAGCAGGGCTGGATTTCCTTTACTGCTAAGAGCTGAACGCATGCAGTTTGGATGCTACACAACCCTGAATTACATCATTGGTGACACTGGTATTGCCAAAGGGAAGCACTTCTGGGCTTTTCATGTGGAAGCTTATTCTTACCTGGTAAAAGTGGGAGTTGTTTCTAGCACCAGGATACAGAAATTTTTCCACAATACACATGATGTGACAAGCCCAAGGTAAATTCCAGGCATATGCATGAAATGTGTTTTGTACAAGAAGATGGTTGGGTTTATTTTATTTTGTTTTGTTTTGTTTTATTTTATTCTAATAATTTAAAAGCAAATGTAGTCTCAATTAACAAACTTGAACCTAACCAGTGGAAAGTAGCTTGAAGCAAATGATAGATGCAGGTTGTCCTATTGCTTTTCTTGTTCCCTGCTTTCAGTAGAGAGCCCATCATCTTTCTTTTTTGGAAGGAAGTCAGGTTTGTACAAATATTGAGATACATCAGTTAAAGCAAGAAGGTGGAAAGAAGTCCATCAGCTGTGAGACTGAAGCAATTCTTGGTTGTCATTAGGTAGACCATTAGCGTGGCAGATTGTCATCTGCTCAAAGGTACAAAGTTCACAGAGTTGTCTGTGTAGTAGCTTGCATCATGATGGATTCCAAGTTGCTTGCATATCGGTTTTGGATTGCTGCTGAGCAGAAGTCAGAATACTGTGAAGAAACCAGTACAAAGGTTTCCAGTTCTCAATTACAGCTACAGTAAACTCAGGTATATCTAGAAATGGAAGGCTGGGAAGTTATTGTCTGAAGACTGTAGCTTCATATCTTAACAGGTGTGCTGGCTTCTTCCTACGCAATGTAATAAAACTGAAAAAAATGCTCCTATCTTAAGTTGCTTAGTGTAGTCAGTGTAATATGGCAGTTGCATGGAAACCTCTTAGAACAAGAGTAATGTTAGATGTATTTATTGGTGTTATTTAATATTATGTAAATAAAGTTAAACATATCCTGCCTGTAATGATAAATCATATTTGCAGAACTATCTGTCCAGTTACCTAATTTACTGTACCTGGTAGGTTCATTAATCATTACCTAGCATAAGTAGGTTTAGATAAACTTGGAACTTAACAGCTCCTTAACAAAACCTTCGTTAATTCAGCTCCTGTCAGCTGTTTCAAGCAGCCCAAGTGGCTGTTCACTTATGAAACATATCTTTCCTTCCAGCACTGTTGCATTTTTACCCTACAAGCTTTTGGTGTTTGTATAGTGTTACCCGTCTTACAGAAATGTTTTCTCTAGCTCACATTGCAGACAGTATTTGTGAATCTGACAAGAGCAAATGGTTGTTCTTCTGTTCTAGATCTGAACAAGACAGTGGTCATGACAGTGGGAGTGAAGATGCCTGTTTGGATTCATCACAGCCTTTCACACTGGTCACTGTGGGCATGAAGAAGTTTTTCATCCCCAAGGCAGCTGCTGACCCAAAGGAAGCTGCTGACCCCAAGGATGCAGCAAGAAGAATCCTTCCCCTGCCCTCCTGCTTGGGGATCTGCCTTGACTGTGACAATGGCAAGGTGGGCTTTTATGATGCCAGCCGCATGAAATGCCTGTATGAGTGCGAGGTGGAATGCTCAGGCATAATGTACCCAACATTTGCCTTAATGGGTGGTGCAGCAGTTCATCTCAAGGAAGCCATCCCAGCAAAGTACGTGGAATACCAAGATGACCTGTAGGTTAGTGCTCTCCTGTTGCTGTTCTGAAATTAAAAATAAGAGCAGAAGCATTTCACCTTTGTTTTCAGTCCTGATTCAAATACAGTATACCTAAGAGCTGTATACGAGACTTTGGGTCACACTTCTGTGTTGCTTTGTTTGTTTGTTTGTTTCTTTGTTTGTTTGTTGAATAGTTCAGACATTTCCAACAAAAGGAAATGTTCTTCCAGGAACTCCCCTGCCTTTCTTGTGATCTGTGTGATGATGATCTCCACAAACTTTCCTCCTAGGGAAGGTGGGGAGGAAGTTTGACTAACAACCAAAATTACTTTTCAGGGATAGAAATCTGCCTTTTATGTAACATAGATTCTCATGTAGTCAGTTTTGAGTTTAACAGACCAAACTGACAGCGTATGATTGCCATTATTCTTTGAGATACCTGTCTTCATGCATCTGCAGGATCAAAATTGCACTAATAGAATAAAAAGCAGTGAGAAATGAAAACTGCAGGTGAACATTTAGGCTGTGTTTGGAAGGAGGAGGTTAAACTAGAAACTTAATTTCATGTAAGTGTAATGTAACTGTAAGCTGAAACTAGTTCTAACGCCTGATGTAGAGTTGATGGTATAATTGTAAGTTCCTGTACTGTTCCAGGCTTTTAGTGTAGACATAAAATATATAAAGTGCAATTTGACCCTAAATGTCAGACTTCCAAGTCTGATATCTGAAGTTTTTGCATGTATGAGTAGCAAGCAGTACCTGGTTTTAGGCAAAAGTAAATAAGTACTTATTTACTGATTCAGTTTTGAGACTCAATTTCTGCCTTACAAGGCATCTCTGTTCAGATTTCTGTTCCGCTCATGTTAAACACTAACATGTTGTAGTGCTTGCATCTGTTTGGAAGAAATTTACACAAGCAGAAATCAAACGTTTGAGTACTTCTACTGTTAATTTTAATTACTGAAAAACAAGGTTCTGAAGTGAAGGACGTTTCTAAAATACACTCAATTTTTTATGAATTTGGGGATATAATGTTGCATCTTGATGAATGTGAAGTATGTTTACTAAATACCTGTGTATAGCTGTAGAGCAATGAATGACCTGAAAATTGCAAGTGGGCACCACTGGTGGTGGATTGACCACTTGTCTTGGTCTTAGAGGTCTTTTCCAAATGTTACGATTCTTTGGTCCTCTTATCTTATGAGACTGGCTCTCTAGCTGTGAAGGATGATGAAAGATCTGGGATTCGCTTCTTTCTTTAATCTTAAAACTTATCTTTTTGGTCCATACCAGATATTAAACTGATCAAAGGACAAATCTTCCGTAGAATTTTCCACATGATCCTGATGGTTAGCTCTGAACAAGCTGCACACGTACAAGGCTTCCCCATCTGATGTCTTATTTTGCATTTAATAAGATTGAGTCTGTTCTGCCATCTTACCTAGTCACTTGGTACTGAGGCCTTCCTGCATAGTGAACACAAATCTTTACCTACTCTTGCAGCAGCTTCAGTTATAGTGAGACAGAGCAGTTTTATTCCCGCTGACAAAATGTACCATTCCTTCAATCTGTTTTTTTGTTATTCTGCCACTGAAAATCCTTACATTTCTGTATGCTCTGTTGACTAGATTACAAGTGCTCCTTGTTACTCAAGTTATCAGTCAGACTCAGAAGTCAGGATTCCCTTTTCTTTAGCTATGGCTTATCCCAATGTGCAATTTTCCTTCTTCCACATATCTACCAAATATTGGTTTAAAGCTACAGATTGTAGAGTCGAATTTCCTAATCTGTTATTCCCAGATCAAATCTCTTTCTACAGGTAAGTATCTCATTTTTAATTCTTCTGTTTTAGAAGTTATTATAAATTACAGGTTTTATGTCTCAGTTACCACTCTACAGTTCCACACTTACATCTTTAGAAGCATCTGGACCAGTATGACCAGGCTTTAGCTTTTCATTACTTTATGAAAATTGTCATAAAATAGCCACAGCATCTTAAATGTGAAGATAAGTCATTCTGAAGGACTATCTTTTAAAAGAAGGGGGCAAAAAAAAGGTAGTGATTTAAGAAAACAGAAGTAAAGGAAGAAGAATTCAGTTTTTTTCCTACTGTATCTTTGCCTGACATTCATTGAAGATGTGCTCTGCTATGCAATTACTTATTCTACTGGACACAGGCTGATATTACTGAAAACACTTACCTGCCTTTTGGTATGTCAGTTTGTAAGTATCTCATTCATCATTTTAAAATTGGTATGGCTTTTGGTGTAGAATGCCTTGATGTAAGGGTTTTCATCGCAGTGCTATATGGCGCTTGCTCCAGTTTATTAAATAGAAGCTGACTGTCAGAGGCAAATGATTTTTTCCACCTGTCAGAGATACAGTTCAGTAGTACATGCCTACACTGACACTTACTTTTCCAAAACAATTTTCTTCCTACAAAACAGCACTTTACAATGTGGACTAAGCTAAGAATGGTGTGATATTGTGTGGATCTCTGTGCAATATAGCTGTCTGGTGACTACTGTGTGATTTGCAAAGCTCCGTTCAGGTGTGAATCATGTAGACCCTTTTTAAGTATCTAAAGCTTTAACAAAAAGGCCTTATTTAAAAATACTCTGAAATGTAAATGTGATGTCAGTTTTTTTCTTTTTTTCTAAATAAAAGCTGAGAATACTGTAGCTTTGTCGTTTGCATTATTACCACCCATCTCTAAAGTGTGCCAGTTGAAGTAATGTTTTTTGTGATAGATGGAAAATGGTGAATTGCGGAAAAAAAGGCACTGCTTGTGTGTGTGTGTGTGTGAGAGAGAGAGAGAGAAAGGCTGAGGTAGCAGGAGTATTGAAAACACATTCTGACATTCTATTGACTCTTCCCAGCTTTCTGGCATGACAGTCATCCTCAACTTCCAGCTGTTTTTCTAGGGTATAAGTGACAGGTTGGTTCATTGCTTTAAGCTAAGCAAAACTGACACAGAGAAGACAAGAAGGGTGGATAGGGAAACTTGAAAAAAGATGTGGGCTGAGGAATATTCTAGGAGTCACATCGTTATGAATGCACAATTTACCAGCACTTCCTGAAGTGCTGAGTGGTAGACTAAGATGGTGCAAGGTCTGTGGCTTAGCACTTAGTCAGCAACAGCTTTCTGGAAGCTTATTTTTAAGGTTCACAAAAACAAACCATGTCTGCATGAGAGAGAACTCCACTTTGCACTGGAGTCTCAAATTAGAAAGAAAGGGCTTTGACTTCACCTGAAGGGTATTTTTAGCTCGTTGGCAAAATAATAAGGCTTTTTGTGTATTTATTGCCCAAGTATAAATATTGCACCCAGCAAATTCAACTTAGTATGAAAGGGTTGGTTTGTTTCAGCAAGCCTGCTTGGTTTTACGGGCTCAGTCCTTGTTCTTAACCCTTTTATTTCTCCTGCCCCATTTCCCATATGACTGTTGTAAGGAAGAAATGGGCGGCTGACATAGTTTAAGAGAATGTTTTTCTCTGTTTTTTATTTTCCTGTCCATTCAATTTTGACCCTCATTTTTCCCACTCAGTAGCAATCATACTGTCTTAGGTAGGGTTCATTTTCTGGGTTTCACACAAAGTTGGAAGCAACTACAGCAGCAGTCTCTGCTCCTCCATGCAGTGTAACTGGTGGGGAAAGTAAAAAATAAAATAAAATACAGAGCTATCCTTAGACCTTGCAGAAGGAGATGGAGAGAAACTGCCCTGTGTAGACAGAAAACTTTCATACAGTTAAAGGTTTCAGAAGAGATGAAAAACAAATATTTTCTTCCTCAGGGGCTGACTGACCATTTTACAGAATCACAGGATCACAGAATGGCCAGGGTTGGAAGGCACCTCAAGGATCATGAAGCTCCAACCCCCTGCCACAGGCAGAGCCACCAACCTCCATGTTTAATGCTAAACCAGGCTGCCCAGAGCCCCATCCAACCTGGCCTTGAACACCTCCAGGGACGGGGCATCCACAACCTCTCTGGGCAGCTGTTCCAGCACCTCACCATTAAAGAACTACCTCCTGACATCCAACTTAATCTTCCCTCCCTCAACTTAAAACTATTTCCCCTTGTCCTGCAGTTATCGACCCTTTCAAAGAGTTGATTCCCCTCCTGTTTGCAGGCTCCTTTTAGGTACTGAAAGGCTGCAATGAGGTCACCCCACAGCCTTCTTTTCTCCAGGCTGAACAAGCCCAGCTCCCTCAGCTTGTCTTTGTAGGGGAGGTGCTCCAGTCCCCTGATCATCTTTGTGGCTCTCCTCTGGACCCTCTCCAACAGCTCTCTGTCTTTCTTGTATCTGGGGCTCCAGACCTGGACACAGTACTCAAAATAGGGCCTCCCAAGAGCAGAGTAGAGGGGGACAATCACCTCCCTGTCCCTGCTGGCCACCCCTCTGCTGATGGAGCCCAGGATGCCATTTGCTTTCTGAGCTGCAGGAGCACACTGCTGGCTCATGGTAAGTTTTTCATGTCAGGACCCCCAGGTCCTTCTCTGCAGGGCTGGTCTCAAGGACTGCGCCTTCCAGTCTGTACGGATGCCTGGAATTCCTCCAGCCCAAGTGCAAAACCTCACACTTTGCTGTGTTGAACCTCATTAGATTCTTCCAGACCAACTTTTCTAGTCTGCTGAGGCCCCTCTGAATGGCATCCCATCATTCAACTGTGTCAACCACACCACTCAGCTTGATGTCATCAGCAAACTTGCTGAAGGTGCACTCAATTCCATCATCGATGTCACTGATAAAGATGTTACAGAGCACCGGTCCCAAGACAGACCCCTGTGGGACGCCGCTCATTACCAGCCTCCACCTGTCATAGAACCACTAATCACCACCCTCTGTCTGTGGCTTTTCAACCAATTGCTTATCCATCGGGTCGTCCACCCATCAAATCTACATTCCTCCAATTTGGAGATAACGATGTGGTGGGGGACCGTGTCAAAGGCCTTGCTCAAGTCCAGGTAAATGACATTGGTCACTTTCCCTTGTCCATCAGTGTCGTCACTCCATCATAGAAGCCACCAGATAGGTTAAGCATGACCTTCCCCTGGTGAAGCCATGCTGGCTGTCTCAAATCACAGCTCATTCCTCATGCAGTCAAGCATGACGTCCAAGAGGATCCGTTCCATGATCTTCCCAGGCACAGAGGTGAGACTCACCGACCTGCAGTTCCCTGGGTCCTCCTTGCTCCCCTTCTTATAAATGGGAGTGATGTGACCCTTCCTCCAGTCATCCGGGACCTCACCTGACAGCCACGACTTTCCAAATATGATGGAGAGCATCTCAGCAACCCCCTCAGCCAGCTCCTTCAGAGCCCTGGCATGCACACCATCCCGCCCCATAGACCTGTACACATTCAGTCTCATGAGGCGGTCTCGGACTTGCTCTGCCCTTACAGTGGGGGGGATTTACTGCCTCAGTCCCCACCTAGAGGTTTAGGGATGCAGGGCTCAGGGACATGAGAAATACTGGAATCCTGGCTGCCAGTGAAGACCGAGGCAAAGAGCTTATTCAGTACCTCAGCTTCTCTTCTACATGGATGGTCAAGCAGGGCAGGCAGATTAATTTCCCAACAGTGCTGATAAAAATGTACATCCCACAGCATGGGTATTTCTGGGGTTGGTAACCCACTGTGACTTCTTCCACA